ACTGCGAAGAAGGCGATTCTCGCCGAAACGTTAGTAAAATAAAACGATATAACAATACAATGCAATAAACAATGAAACGTATATAACAATCTCGGAAGGCTACACAGGCTCATACAACAGTATATAAGTCTATATGGCGAGATTAAAGGTAGTTGGCACGATAAATACCCAAGACGAGTAAGATTAGCAAGCCTGGTAGGACGGAATTCCGCAACACTGAGCAAGCGCTGCGTTGCGCCTTTTCCAAGAAAGGCACCGTTATAGGGCCCTATCAAGCTACACCCGAACGCTCCACCGCGCCCGCCCGTCCACAAATGATCATGGAAATTTGCTGTTACAGATTGCCTATCATGCCAGTATGGGGTTGGTCAGCTCAAGTGATCGTCGAAGGATGTGCTTTCAAGCGATTTTTGTGGCTCTTATCGAATACAATTCCAGGGGAGGGAATGGTCATTCCATGAGGCTTGAACAAGAACCCCGTCAGTACATTCTAGTTCGCTGCGGACGGTTGGGCATGTCAGGCAGTATGAGTGTGTCATGCAGTCAAAGCCGTTTTCTGCCTTCTATATCATTTGCTCGCTTCAACCGGTGGAGAACGAGTTTGGCACCGCGCCAAACTCATCACTCCTGACACGCCCAACCGTCCGCAGCGAACTACACTATATCTTTTCGGTCGGTGGAAGCACTGCGGTTCATTCCAGATGTTTTTGAAAAGCATTGACGTCACTAGGGCCCTGAAAATGGGGCAAACTTTTCCTGCCTTTTGCCTTAGTAATGGCTTCCAATGTAAAATATACAATAAAGTACTTCCTACGAAGGGTATGTGCAAGGTGTGCTCGCTGTCTATGAATATTTCTTAGCCAATATATAGGAAAATATGCAATCGAATTTTAGACAGCTGAGGCCTAGCTCTCTCTCCTTGACCACTGCGTTCCTTCTTTATCAGTTTGTCTCATCTGTTGTAGCAATGTCGTTCCAGAAGAGCGAAGACCACTACGAAACTAGTCGTTGAGCGCTCGTAAACACACACTGAGGACCCTATTCCCATGCATTTAGGTCTAACACGATCACAGGCCGTACACATTGAATTTGGTTTCGCCATTACCACTTAATTCAGGGTCCTGGGTAACTATGTACTGCTCATTGAACATATCACAATGAGCCCATGCACGATCCATCCCCAGTGAACGGTAGAGCTGTCGAAGAAATGAGTGAAGGGCCACCCTGTTTAAAGGCATAAGGCACGATAACGTGGTACTCGGTCGTAGCAGGGATGCCATATAGTGAGAAAATGGCGAAAAAACTACGTGAAATGGTCAAAAGCCTGCAAAAAAAAACCTTCGTTTTACACGACCTAAAAAGCGATTTCGGACGAGTTTTGCATTGGCATGCAATGCAAATAACAGCGCTACGTGCAGGACGCTGCATGTAAGGCTTAATAAATCCATGCAGCACCGCGCCGCTTGCCACATCAATTCCTTCGCTTCATATTGTACTTTGCAAATGGGGCGATATGAGCATCGGTCTTACATTTGTGGGCGGGCGGGCGCGGTGGGCGTCCGGGTCGGTACATTAACAGTCAGATAGAAGCGACAGGGACACACCTTTTCTGGGAAAGGCGCCGCGCCTGCTCAGGAGGCCGCGAAATCTGTCCAGCTAGGCGTATTGATCCTACACGTCCTAGGGATTTATCGCGCCATTTGCCTTCAAGGCTCCAGGTAGCTTTCACCCAGGAGCCTTAAAGGCAAGTGCCAGTGAAGGGTTGAAAGTATCTCAATTTGAGCGCCGTACACAAGCCGCATTCTCGGTGAACCGGCAGAGCTAGACGGAGAAATAGTTAAGGTATGATATCTGTTTAGGGACCACAGAAGCATGCTAATAAGCTGACGCTGTTAAGACCATTGGCCGTAAAGAATTCAGAGCATCAGCGCATTAGCTTATAGAGCTTGTCCTCATCTTGAAAAGGACATCTACCATGATTACTCATTCCTCAATGAAGTACTTCTGACCATTGTTACCGTTGCTACAGGGATTCACGTCACATCCCTCATACGGCAGCGGATTGACGAGTCTTCAGAATTTTCCTTACAAATGATGAATGAATTTCAGGTTGTGGCTGGACGGACGATTTGATCTGCTCAATGTTTCTCCCTTGGCGCCCGACGTTTGGTCACTCCGGGTCGTCTCAGCTGTTCGACCACTTTTCTACACTTCGTTCATATGCAAACGGAAGGGTAAAGCCACTAAGTAAGTATGTTTACTAAGTTCCCAGGTGACGAAACAGTAGAGCCACTGGAATGCTTTCATGTGATGTGCTTTCCCATTGTTGCAGTTCGTTTCTCGGTGCAGTTCGGCGACGGAGGGGGGGGGGGGGGGGGGGGAGGCATTTTGCACTTTTGCTACTTCCCATCGACGTGTCGACCCATCTAGACAGCCTCTTCTCGAGTTGACAGGTTTTACCATGATGGCTTGCTCCAGCTTCACAAGAGTTCACAGGTTTCACCAGAGTGAGACTTGTAAACCGGAACTAAGGAAGCAATGATAGTACAAAATGCCCCCCGTCGCCGAACTGCGCCGGTTACCCTTTTTATATTCACTAGAGGGATTCGTAGAACCCTAGCTGAGGGTGAATGTGGCATAAAGTGAGAAATCTGTTTGTTCCACTTGAAGTTTCTCGGAGATCCTTTTTATAATCCGCTAGCGGCGGACGCGTTTGTTCCTCGGGCTAGTCGCGTGTCATTGCCAATGAACTGCTCGATTTATAGGCGCCTTGAGAGCAAAAAGCGCTCGGTTGTCGAGGACTAAATTGGTGAGCTCCAGTTTCATCGTTTCCGCCGATAAAATGTTCAACCAACCACAATGGGCTTAGATTTGGAGACAGATGATAGGGGAATGAGAGTTACTGGATAAAGGGTACAGCATCGTTGTGTAAAACACATGGGGGGGTCGTACTTGGCCGCTGAGCAGAAGGGGAGGGGGGGGGTCGTATTTGGTCGTTGTTGGGAGAGGGGGTTCGTATGTGGCTTTGAGAGAGATTTGCCGCGTTGGGAAAAAAATTTTCCCGGTTGTTGATTTTTCGCGTGATTGTTCCTGTTTCATGTGTATTAACCCCCACCCCTCCCCGCTGCTCCCCCGCTCGATAGAAAAATTCTTGGGAAATTCCGGAAAAAGTGGTAAGAAGTTGGGGGATATCTAAAAAAATTTTTTTCACAATGGCATTTCACAAATCACGATGCTGTACCCTGACTGGATAGTCCTATATGAGGACATGCACTAAAGCCTTTCTATGGGGAAGAGTTTTTGTCTGTGCCTTCCGCTTCAGCACCCTTCTCTGGCTTGACAGCAAATTCGCTCAGTGCAAGTTTTTCTTTCAGTTGGGATGGATACGTATTCGCTCTGCTGCTGCGAATGCGTGGTACAATCACAGCGAATAAGAGGCTGTTGAGGAATGAAGAAGGAGATGAGGTGCCCTTTTGCAGCGTTTTTCAGCCCAATAGAGTCCTTCAGAACCAAATCCGAAAGCCAATAATTTCAGGCTGTGCTGCATTGGGAAATACGACGAAGCAGTGGGAATGCTACACAGGTACAAAATGATTGCTTCTCATTTTTTAACTAAATATTTCAGAACTGAAAAAAGTCTTGTTCTCATCGCTTTTATGTGTGACATTTATCGAACAAGGGTTCTGGTGTAGCTGGTGGAGACAGGGTACAGCATCAGGATGGGAGAAATGCCGTTGCCAGCAGGGCACCGGGGGAAATTTTGGGAGAGTAAACCTCCATAATTCCCTCCTCTGATACTACCCCCCCTTTCCCCATCCTACTTCCAGCCAATTTTTCCACTTTTTCAGAGGGCGGAATTTCCCAGGAAGTGTCTGGTTTTTCTCCAAGATTTTGCTGTCGAGCAGGAGGAGGGAGAGGCGGGGGCATGAAGGGAGGAGGATGAGGGGAGCGGGGGCAAATAGCGCTTGTGAAAGAGGAGAAACCGCGAAAAGTCAATCCCTGCCGTAAATTCGCAGAGACTAAATACAGAACCCCTTTCTCTGCCCAACCAACTAACGGCGAATTCGACTCACCTCTATACGTTCCGTGGAACAAGAAAAAAATCACCTAAACCCAAGAAATGGGCTCGGAACAATTAACCGATTGCCGCCACCGGGTCAAGACAAGCGGTGTGATGCTGGGCTATTTGCCCCGACCAATACGACCCCCCCCCCCGCTGGGGCATTCCTCGACTACGAACGTTGTTTGTGGTTGTCAGACGACTCGTGTCCCCCCCCCGCCCAAACCACCTGGAGTTCGTTCCTAAGCCACGACCCCTTTTCCCATTCTACCCACCATCCTTCCAAGTGCTCCCAACTTTTCCCTCCCCTCTGCCCCCCCCTTTCCCCGTTTTCTGGAAATTTTCCAGTTTTGCCAACGAAAAAGCAACTATTTCAAATATGGAAAGTAGTACTAATGGAGCGGGGCAAATAGTACACATGAAACGAGAAAAACCGTAGAAAGTCAACGACCTGAGAGGATTTCTTTCACTGCTTGATCCCTGTCGAGCCCAGATACGACCCGCGTGGACCAAATTCGAACCCTCTTCCCAACGACCAAATACGGGTCCCCTGATGGGAATTTCCCAACGGTGCTGTATGCTGGGGGAGAGCAAAAAGTATGGAGCACCTCATATCCGTCTTTACTTAACCGCGCCCTCTCGTACGGGCTGAATCTGGCAGATGTTTCGCGTAGAAAAACTATTCACTGGAACGTCTTGCGTTGATTGTCCCACCCTTGGCCCACTACGCTAGCACCTCGAAAATGAGCCGTAATATTGACAGTTGTTGATAGTACTGATAGTTTCTAATAGCTTTTTGACAGCATTGACAGCTCTAATGTTTAGGAACAAATACATAAAGTCGCCACGAAGTTCCGGGTTGTGCCTGACTCGCTTTATGCTCTGGTTCCTGTTGCAAAGGTGAGACTGCTGCTCTGTTCCAGTTTCTGGATGTAAAGCTGTAGAAATTGCAGAAAGTTCTCCAAACCAGTTATGAGACGGGTAAAAAAGTAGAAAAATAGAAATTAGTGAAGTGAGAGACCAGGGTTTACAACGTCAAAACAGATTCATTCAGACTACACCTGTGGCTGCTTACTTCCGCCTTACAAAGTTGCGTTTGGACGATAGCAAACAGTTAAGGCAAAGTGATCAGAGCTCTCAGTAAATGAAGAGGGTGTGCCTCCAGTATACGAAAATGCCAACTGCATAAAGAACGCTGTTACGATACCGTGAACACGACTTCATTAAGTCATTTCTCAGGTGATATGCAAAAAAATGCAAGGCAAAATGGCTGATAATTGAAAAAACACTGCGCCTGTAAGGAAATGCGGCCAAATCTGTGAATATCATTTATATTTCCACTAAGCTAGCCTCTTTTTCACGAGCGCTTTAGCACTATGCTAAAATTAATCGCAAGAATTTGCCTTGTTTAATGGTGGCAACTAGTCAGGGGATCTTCAAAACCCGTGCAGTGATCGAGGCATTTCAGAAGCTAAACAAGCCTCAACTGTCTTTTGTTCTCGACTTTGAAGACGAACTGTGCACTCACCTCCGGGATCTTGGTCCCTACCAAGTGCAAGGTGAACGGATTGTAGCCGTGGACACAAGGCGATTAGAGGGTGCTGATACCCGGGTGCCGTTTCTGCCCTCCTCACGGCCGGCCAAGCGCCTGCCATAAGCAGGCGCTCTAATTGTCTGCGCTCTGGCACGTCTAGTTGTTCTCTACCTCTGTATCTTCGCTGCGGAATCTCGGTATTAACAAAGGTGCTGCACCTTGAAGATAGGGCAGGCGGGATCCCAAATGGTACCAGCATATTGTTGGCTCTTCAGCATTAATCAAGCGCACTATCAAATGACGAAGGTATTGCACTCGTACATTTGCGAGCTCGTACTTCCACGCACATGGTAAGACCGTCCTCCAAAGTGAATGTACAGTTTGCATCTGAAGACACGCTATACGCTTACTCCAGAGGTCGGTCCTATCTGTGGGCAAAGTGGGCAGGTGAGCAGCACGCCTTTTAAAAAAAAAAAAGGAAAAAAAAAGACCTTATCCCTTTTGCCCGTTTGGAAGTGCGTGGCAGTCAGGCCGTTACCATTTGGACTCAAACTTCATCGTTTCCTCATTAAACCCGTTCGGTAAACTATAGGTCATAAAAAGTGATTTGTGATAGCTTCCATAAATACTCTCATACATCCTGATAACTTCCATAGATACTCTCATACTCATTACTATGTAAACACCGTCGCAAAAATTAAATAAATGTTTAATTTCCTAGTGAAAGGCGTGAACAGTGATAAAGTGCTTTCGCGAGAAGGAATTCCCATCGACCCTAAGTATGAATAGCATTCAAGAACGGCTAGCAAGTGAATGACGATTTTCGAATTAATGGAACTTATTGGGTATGCTAATGCCTTTGCACTGTTACTTTCCCCCTCGAACGCCACTGAAGTGCAAGAAAAGACCACAAAATTCATCTCATTCCGAGCGGTGTCAGGAGGTCTGGAGTAAGCCCACCCCGACTGCGTTTCTGCCAGCAGGAAGAAACTATCCAAACCTACAAAACGCCGCAGATGATCGCCTTCATGGGGCTCATGCACCGCCCCGACTTACTACGATGTATCAAAAAATGTAATAATGAGGGTATGTTCCAAAACGATAGGCGTTCGTGAGGGGGGGCGTCGGATTGGAGTGTGCTAAAAGCAACCATTCCATCAATCCAAATGCCCCCGTCCTGATTCCACAGCACGCAGTGGGCGGAAGCTTTGACTGCAATCGAACACGCGCTCCCGTGACACGCCCTATTGCTTGCAGGGATAATGACTCCATATATACGTTCCACTTTTGTGCTGGCGGAGTCGGCACGATGCAAAGAAAATGTGACGAACGGCGCCTCGCGTTACCCAGCGGACAGTCCAAGCAATCGCAATCTCAGATCGACTTCTCAGGTCAAGCGAGCCGTGCACCCTCTAATCGGCTCAGTCTTATACGCACTCCCAACTAAACTTCTGCAGGGTCGAGTCAATTCAAAAATGCAATGTGATCCTCATACGGTAGTAAGCAAAAAAGGAAAAGAAGAATAGCGAAAGGTGAACTAGTGAGCCTTGGACCTTCAGCTGCCCCACTGTAATGGAGCAGTTCAAGGTCACCCATGTTCAGAAAAGTCGGTCCCGTGGTCCTATACACAGGGCACATCATCGTTGGGGGATTCCCCGACAAACAGGGGTGGGTAATTGGCTTGCTGGGGAGGGTGAGGGGAGGGGTTCGCATTTTATTGAGAAAAAAATTTTTTGATTGTTGGTTTTTCTTGCTCCAGGGACGCTAAAGAGAGGTGTGTCGTGTTTGCTCGCTCGTTGTTGGGAGGGAGGAGGGACGTATTTGCCCCTGGTCTTCTGAGTGTTCTGAGAGATGCTGAGAGGTTGTTGACTTTTTTGTCCACCCCTCCCCGCTCCCTTGGACAGCGAGATTTTTGGGAGAAAGTTTCAATTTTCGGGGGATTCCGGAAAAAAACTGGCAGGAAGTTGCGAACATCGAAGAATGGTAGGTAGGATGGGAAGGGGGGGGGGGGTTGTACCTATCGCGGCCGCCCCCCCCTCCCCCCAAGCGGGGAGGGACGTACGACTCGATCAAATCCCCAAATATATGAGTGTGCCTCCCTACAATACATTTAGGTTAGAGTGCGGTTTGAAAGAACGACTAAATTCTTCGCAAATGGCCAGTTTTCGGACCTTGTCTGGACGAATGCCTTATGTTTACCGGCATGAGCTTAATCATGTGAATGCACAGAGTTCCCATTTTGTGGCCCTTTTCAACAAAATGTGTCCATAATTTGCCCTGAAATTTTGATTTCCTTTACAGAATACCGATCTCATCAACACTGGAGTACTCTCCGGTCAGCAGAGTGCCACCTCGATGAGGATATTCACAGCTTCTCTGGGTGGAATTATCCGCGATGTCACAGCCCGTTCACATTGCATCTCAGCCGAGCCACGAGTACTCAAAACGAGTCCCACTTGTACATCAGTGAGTTGTCAAGTCAAGTGAGCATCACTCAGTGCGTCTCAGCCCGACTTTTTCAGGTTTACGTTGATGGATCCGAACTAAGAGGTATGCAAAACATGAAAGTGCACGTGCACTACGAGAAATGGACCGCATTCATCGCTTTCACCGTTTGGTACCCCCGACTTCCGATAACGGTACGTGAACCAAAAATTCTCATGGAAATGTAAAGGGCAAAGGATAGGCTCTGTCGTGTGATATAACTTTCCTCACATACACTTGGTACAGGTCTGTGGAAATCATCATTGCCACCTTTTTCTGATAGAGGATTCGAACTTCCGACGCGCGTGCGATAATCGGGCGCGCTATCCACTGGCCCAACTAGCGACCAGGCAATGCGCGTTCGAATGATTCATGTTCTTCAGCTGTGGCTACGCGATCCGGTGCTGAATTCGATTTCTGGATGGCCGATAACTGTCTGGAAGATTCTACAGGGCGATCGTCACCACAAAGGAGCTGCTAAACAATTTGCTTGCGGAAATCGTTTCCAACAAACCGAGGTGAGTCAGATCTCCGAAATCCGAGGCAGGGCACATCATTGTTGGGAACTTAGGTCGACCACGTGCGACCCCCCCCCTCCTAGAAGTGGC